GTGGTGAGCGTGAGTGGTGAGCGTGAGTGGTGAGCGTGAGTGGTGAGTGGTGATTGTGAGTGGTGAGTGGTGAGCGTGAGTGTGGTGAGTGGTGAGCGTGAGTGTGGTGAGCGTGAGTGGTGAGTGGTGAGTGTGAGTGGTGAGTGGTGAGCGTGAGTGTGGTGAGTGGTGAGTGGTGAGCGTGAGTGGTGAGCGTGAGTGGTGAGTGGTGAGCGTGAGTGGTGAGTGGTGAGCGTGAGCGTGGTGAGCGTGAGTGTGGTGAGTGGTGAGCGTGGGTGGTGAGTGGTGAGCGTGAGTGTGGTGAGTGGTGAGTGGTGAGCGTGAGTGGTGAGTGGTGAGCGTGAGTGGTGAGCGTGAGTGGTGAGTGGTGAGCGTGAGTGGTGAGCGTGAGTGGTGAGTGGTGAGCGTGAGCGTGGTGAGCGTGAGTGTGGTGAGTGGTGAGCGTGGGTGGTGAGCGTGAGAGTGATGAGGGTGAGCGTGAGTGGTGAGGGTGAGTGGTGAGCGTGAGTGGTGAGTGGTGCGTGGTGAGCGTGAGTGGTGAGTGGTGAGCGAGTGGTGAGCGTGAGTGGTGAGTGGTGAGTGAGTGGTGAGCGTCAGTGGTGAGTGGTGAGTGGTGAGCGTGAGTCAGTGGTGAGTGGTGAGCGTGAGTGGTGAGCGTGAGTGGTGAGTGGTGAGCGTGAGTGGTGAGCGTGAGTGGTGAGTGTGAGTGAGTGGTGAGTGGTGAGCGTGAGTGGTGAGCATGAGTGGTGAGTGAGTGGTGAGCGTGTGAGTGGTGAGTGGTGAGCGTGAGTCAGTGGTGAGTGGTGAGTGAGTGGTGAGTGGTGAGCGTGAGTGGTGAGTGGTGAGCGTGAGTGGTGAGCGTGAGTCAGTGGTGAGCGTGAGTGGTGAGTGGTGAGCGTGAGTGGTGAGCGTGAGTGAGGGGTGAGTGGTGAGTGGTGAGAGTGAGTGGTGAGTGAGGGGTGAGTGGTGAGTGGTGAGCGTGAGTGGTGAGCGTGAGTGGTGAGTGAGTGAGTGGTGAGTGGTGAGCGTGAGTGGTGAGCGTGAGTGGTGAGTGGTGAGCGTGAGTGAGTGGTGAGTGGTGAGTGGTGAGTGAGTGAGTGGTGAGTGGTGAGCGTGAGTGGTGAGCGTGAGTCAGTGGTGAGTGGTGAGTGAGTGGTGAGTGAGTGGTGAGTGGTGAGCGTGAGTGGTGAGCGTGAGTGGTGAGTGGTGAGTGAGTGGTGAGTGAGTGGTGAGTGGTGAGTGAGTAGGTGAGTGGTGAGTGGTGAGCGTGAGTCAGTGGTGAGTGGTGAGTGAGTGGTGAGTGAGTGGTGAGTGAGTGAGTGGTGAGTGAGCGTGAGTGGTGAGTGGTGAGCGTGAGTGGTGAGTGGTGAGCGTGAGTGGTGAGCGTGAGTGAGGGGTGAGTGGTGAGTGGTGAGCGTGAGTGGTGAGTGGTTAGCGTGTGAGTGGTGAGTGATGAGTGGTGAGTGGTGAGCGTGAGTGGTGAGCGTGAGTGGTGAGCGTGAGTGGTGAGCGTGAGCGTGGTGAGCGTGAGTGGTGAGCGTGAGTGGTGAGTGGTGAGCGTGAGTGGTGAGCGTGAGTGGTGAGTGGTGATTGTGAGTGGTGAGTGGTGAGCGTGAGTGTGGTGAGTGGTGAGCGTGAGTGTGGTGAGCGTGAGTGGTGAGTGGTGAGTGTGAGTGGTGAGCGTGAGTGTGGTGAGCGTGAGTGTGGTGAGTGGTGAGTGTGAGTGGTGAGTGGTGAGCGTGAGTGTGGTGAGTGGTGAGTGGTGAGCGTGAGTGTGATGAGTGGTGAGCGTGAGTGTGGTGAGCGTGAGTGTGGTGAGTGGTGAGTGTGTGTGGTGAGTGGTGAGCGTGAGTGTGGTGAGTGGTGAGTGGTGAGCGTGAGTGGTGAGTGGTGAGCGTGAGTGGTGAGCGTGAGTGGTGAGCGTGAGTGGTGAGTGGTGAGCGTGAGCGTGGTGAGCGTGAGTGTGGTGAGTGGTGAGCGTGGGTGGTGAGTGGTGAGCGTGAGTGTGGTGAGTGGTGAGTGGTGAGCGTGAGTGGTGAGTGGTGAGCGTGAGTGGTGCGCGTGAGTGGTGAGTGGTGAGCGTGAGTGGTGAGCGTGAGTGGTGAGTGGTGAGTGGTGAGCGTGAGTGTGGTGAGTGGTGAGCGTGGGTGGTGAGCGTGAGAGTGATGAGGGTGAGCGTGAGTGGTGAGGGTGAGTGGTGAGCGTGAGTGGTGAGTGGTGCGTGGTGAGCGTGAGTGGTGAGTGGTGAGCGAGTGGTGAGAGTGAGTGGTGAGTGAGTGGTGAGTGGTGAGCGTGAGTGGTGAGCGTGAGTGGTGAGGGTGAGTGGTGAGGGTGAGTGGTGAGCGTGAGTGGTGAGTGGTGAGTGGTGAGCGTGAGTGGTGAGCGTGAGTGGTGAGTGGTGAGCGTGAGTGGTGAGTGGTGAGCGTGAGTGGTTAGTGAGTGAGCGTGAGTGTGGTGAGCGTGAGTGTGGTGAGTGGTGAGCGTGAGAGTGGTGAGGGTGAGCGTGAGTGGTGAGCGTGAGTGGTGAGCGTGAGTGGTGAGCGTGAGTGGTGAGTGGTGAGCGTGAGTGGTGAGTGGTGAGCGTGTGAGTGGTGAGTGATGAGTGGTGAGTGGTGAGCGTGAGTGGTGAGCGTGAGCGTGGTGAGCGTGAGTGGTGAGCGTGAGTGGTGAGCGTGAGTGGTGAGTGGTGAGCGTGAGTGGTGAGCGTGAGTGGTGAGCGTGAGTGGTGAGTGGTGATTGTGAGTGGTGAGTGGTGAGCGTGAGTGTGGTGAGTGGTGAGCGTGAGTGTGGTGAGCGTGAGTGGTGAGTGGTGAGTGTGAGTGGTGAGTGGTGAGCGTGAGTGTGGTGAGTGGTGAGTGGTGAGCGTGAGTGGTGAGCGTGAGTGGTGAGTGGTGAGCGTGAGTGGTGAGTGGTGAGCGTGAGCGTGGTGAGCGTGAGTGTGGTGAGTGGTGAGCGTGGGTGGTGAGTGGTGAGCGTGAGTGTGGTGAGTGGTGAGTGGTGAGCGTGAGTGGTGAGTGGTGAGCGTGAGTGGTGAGCGTGAGTGGTGAGTGGTGAGCGTGAGTGGTGAGCGTGAGTGGTGAGTGGTGAGCGTGAGCGTGGTGAGCGTGAGTGTGGTGAGTGGTGAGCGTGGGTGGTGAGCGTGAGAGTGATGAGGGTGAGCGTGAGTGGTGAGGGTGAGTGGTGAGCGTGAGTGGTGAGTGGTGCGTGGTGAGCGTGAGTGGTGAGTGGTGAGCGAGTGGTGAGCGTGAGTGGTGAGTGGTGAGTGAGTGGTGAGCGTCAGTGGTGAGTGGTGAGTGGTGAGCGTGAGTCAGTGGTGAGTGGTGAGCGTGAGTGGTGAGCGTGAGTGGTGAGTGGTGAGCGTGAGTGGTGAGCGTGAGTGGTGAGCGTGAGTCAGTGGTGGTGAGTGGTGAGCATGAGTGGTGAGTGAGTGGTGAGCGTGTGAGTGGTGAGTGGTGAGCGTGAGTCAGTGGTGAGTGGTGAGTGAGTGGTGAGTGGTGAGCGTGAGTGGTGAGTGGTGAGCGTGAGTGGTGAGCGTGAGTCAGTGGTGAGCGTGAGTGGTGAGTGGTGAGCGTGAGTGGTGAGCGTGAGTGAGGGGTGAGTGGTGAGTGGTGAGAGTGAGTGGTGAGTGAGGGGTGAGTGGTGAGTGGTGAGCGTGAGTGGTGAGCGTGAGTGGTGAGTGAGTGAGTGGTGAGTGGTGAGCGTGAGTGGTGAGCGTGAGTGGTGAGTGGTGAGCGTGAGTGAGTGGTGAGTGGTGAGTGGTGAGTGAGTGAGTGGTGAGTGGTGAGCGTGAGTGGTGAGTGAGTGGTGAGTGGTGAGCGTGAGTGGTGAGCGTGAGTGGTGAGCGTGAGTGGTGCGTGGTGAGCGTGAGTCAGTGGTGAGTGGTGAGCGTGAGTCAGTGGTGAGTGGTGAGCGTGAGTCAGTGGTGAGTGGTGAGTGAGTGGTGAGTGGTGAGTCAGTGGTGAGTGGTTAGTGGTGAGTGAGTGGTGAGTGGTGAGCGTGAGTCAGTGGTGAGTGGTGAGTGAGTGGTGAGCGTGAGTCAGTGGTGAGTGGTGAGTGGTGAGCGTGAGTGAGTGGTGAGTGAGTGGTGAGTGAGTGGTGAGAGTGAGTGGTGAGTGGTGAGTGAGTGATGAGTGGTGAGTGGTGAGCGTGAGTGGTGAGTGGTGAGTGAATGGTGAGCGTGAGTGGTGAGTGGTGAGCGTGAGTGAGTGGTGAGTGAGTGGTGAGTGGTGAGTGAGTGGTGAGTGAGTGGTGAGTGGTGAGTGAGTGGTGAGTGGTGAGTGAGTGGTGAGTGGTGAGTGGTGAGCGAGTGGTGAGTGGTGAGTGAGTGGTGAGTGAGTGGTGAGTGGTGAGCATGAGTGGTGAGCGTGAGTCAGTGGTGAGTAGTGAGTGAGTGGTGAGTGGTGAGTGAGTGGTGAGTGGTGAGTGAGTGGTGAGTGGTGAGTGAGTGGTGAGTGAGTGGTGAGTGGTGAGTGAGTGGTGAGTGGTGAGTGAGTGGTGAGTGAGTGGTGAGTGGTGAGTGAGTGGTGAGTGGTGAGTGAGTGGTGAGTGAGTGGTGAGTGGTGAGTGAGTGGTGAGTGGTGAGTGGTGAGTGAGTGGTGAGTGAGTGGTGAGTGGTGAGTGAGTGGTGAGTGGTGAGTGAGTGGTGAGTGAGTGGTGAGTGGTGAGTGAGTGGTGAGTGTGGTGAGTGAGTGGTGAGTGGTGAGTGAGTGGTGAGTGGTGAGTGAGTGGTGAGTGGTGAGTGAGTGGTGAGTGAGCGTGAGTGGTGAGTGGTGAGCGTGAGTGGTGAGTGAGTGGTGAGTGAGTGGTGAGAGTGAGTGGTGAGCGTGAGTGGTGAGTGGTGAGTGAGTGGTGAGTGGTGAGTGAATGGTGAGCGTGAGTGGTGAGTGGTGAGCGTGAGTCAGTGGTGAGTGAGTGGTGAGTGGTGAGTGAGTGGTGAGTGAGTGGTGAGTGGTGAGTGGTGAGTGGTGAATGGTGAGTGGCGAGTGGTGAGCGTTCCTCACCTTTGCTTTTGGACCGTTCTGGGTAGCCACTCGGATTGGTGGAGGAACCGGGAGTTGAAGTGGCTCCCTTCTGTTTCAGCATGGTCCAGTCAAACATGTAGTCGTACTGGTAGTTCAGGGTTCTACACACACACACACAGACACACAGACACACAGACACACACAGTGAGACACACACACAGACACACACACAACATGGTCCAGTCAAACATGTAGTCGTACTGGTAGTTCAGGGTTCTACACACACACAGTGTACACACACACACAGACACACACAGTGAGACACACACACAGACAGTGAGACACACACACAGACAGTGAGACACACACACAGACACACACACAGACACACACACAACATGGTCCAGTCAAACATGTAGTCGTACTGGTAGTTCAGGGTTCTACACACACACACACAGACACACACAGTGAGACACACACACACACAGACACAGTGAGACACACACACAGACACACACACAACATGGTCCAGTCAAACATGTAGTCGTACTGGTAGTTCAGGGTTCTACACACAGTGTACACACACACAGACACACACAGTGAGACACACACACAGTGTACACACACACACAGTGAGACACACACACAGACAGACAGACACACACACAACATGGTCCAGTCAAACATGTAGTCGTACTGGTAGTTCAGGGTTCTACACACACACAGTGTACACACACACACACAGTGAGACACACACACACAGTGAGACACACACACACACACACAGACACACACACAACATGGTCCAGTCAAACATGTAGTCGTACTGGTAGTTCAGGGTTCTACACACACACAGTGTGTGACACACACACAGACACAGTGAGACACACACAGTGAGACACACACACAGTGTACACACACACAGTGAGACACACACACACAGACACACACAGTGAGACACACACACAACATGGTCCAGTCAAACATGTAGTCGTACTGGTAGTTCAGGGTTCTACACACACACAGTGTACACACACACACACAGTGAGACACACACACAGTGTACACACACAGTGAGACACACACACAGTGAGACACACACACACACAGACACACACACACAGTGAGACACACACACAGACACACACACAACATGGTCCAGTCAAACATGTAGTCGTACTGGTAGTTCAGGGTTCTACACACACACAGTGTGAGACACACACACAGACAGTGAGACACACACACAGACACACACACAGTGTACACACAGACACACAGTGAGACACACACACACAGTGAGACACACACACAGTGTACACACACACACAGTGAGACACACAGACACACACACACAACATGGTCCAGTCAAACATGTAGTCGTACTGGTAGTTCAGGGTTCTACACACACACAGTGTACACACACACAGTGAGACACACACACACACACAGACACACACACACAGAGACACATACAGTGAGACACAGACACACACACAACATGGTCCAGTCAAACATGTAGTCGTACTGGTAGTTCAGGGTTCTACACACACACACAGTGAGACACACACACACACACAGTGTGACACACACACAGTGTACACACAGTGAGACACACACACACACAGACAGGCACACACACAACATGGTCCAGTCAAACATGTAGTCGTACTGATAGTTCAGGGTTCTACACACACACAGTGTACACACACACACACAGTGAGACACACACAGTGAGACACACACAGTGTACACACACAGTGAGACACACACAGACAGACACACACACAGACACACACACAACATGGTCCAGTCAAACATGTAGTCGTACTGGTAGTTCAGGGTTCTACACACACACAGTGTACACACACAGTGAGACACACACAGTGAGACACACACAGTGAGACACACACACACACAGTGAGACACACACAGTGAGACACACACAGTGAGACACACACAGTGTACACACACAGTGAGACACACACAGTGAGACACACACACAGACACACACACAACATGGTCCAGTCAAACATCTAGTCGTACTGGTAGTTCAGGGTTCTACACACACACAGTGTACACACACAGTGTACACACACACAGTGAGACACACAGACACACAGTGAGACACACACAGTGAGACACACACAGTGAGACACACACACAGACACACACACAACATGGTCCAGTCAAACATGTAGTCGTACTGGTAGTTCAGGGTTCTACACACACACACACAGTGAGACACACACACAGTGAGACACACACACACAGACACACACAGTGAGACACACACACAACATGGTCCAGTCAAACATGTAGTCGTACTGGTAGTTCAGGGTTCTACACACACACACACAGACACACACAGTGAGACACAGTGAGACACACACACAGACATACACACACAGTGAGACACACACACAGTGAGACACACACAGTGAGACACACACACAGACACACACACACAGTGAGACACACACACAGACACACACACAGTGTACATACACACAGTGAGACACACACACACAGACACACACACAGCATGGTCCAGTCAAACATGTAGTCGTACTGGTAGTTCAGGGTTCTACACACACACAGTGTACACACACACACAGACACACACACACAGACACACACAGACACACACACACACAGACACACACACACAGACACACACACACAGACACACACACACAGACACACAAAGACACACAGACACACACACACAGACACACGGTACTTGAAGTCACACTGGTAGTGCACAGTTCCACACACACACAGACACACACACAGACACACACACAGACACACACAGACACACACACAGACAGACACACACACACAGACACACACACACACAGACACACACACATAGACACACACACAGACACACACAGACACACAGACACACAGACACGGTACTTGAAGTCACACTGGTAGTGCACAGTTCCACACACACACAGACACACACACACACAGACACACACACACACACACAGACACACACACACACAGACACGGTACTTGAAGTCACACTGGTAGTGCACAGTTCCACACACACACACAGACACACACAGACACACACAGACACACACACAGACACACACACAGACACACACACAGACACACACACACACAGACACACACACACAGACACACACACAGACACACACACACACAGACACACACACACATACACACACACACAGACACACACACACACAGACACACACACATAGACACACACACAGACACACACAGACACACAGACACACACACACAGACACGGTACTTGAAGTCACACTGGTAGTGCACAGTTCCACAACAACAACAACAACCGCCATTCGCCACTAAGTGGCGGTGACGTCACCACGACGCTTGTGCCAGGCTATGTGCACCCTGAGGCCACGTGAAGTGTCGAACGCCCGCTGGCAGGAGGTCACGGGGCAGACCCAGGTGCCACGGGTCGACTGACTGAGATGACTGGCTGATGCACCACCTGTGCCCCCTACTGTGCCAACCTGCTGTGCTTTAGCCACCCGGCGCTCCGCTCGCTGTTGTGAGCGTCGCTCCTCCGCCCTCCGTTGTTGTTGGAGGGCGACTGCCTCCAACTGCCCAGTAGCATCCTTCACGAGCCTCCTCCACAGAGGCCGATCTTGACACCGCTGGTACCAGTCATCGGCAAGTCCACTCAGCTCCACGTCCTCCTGTACCACATCACTCCATCTCTTCTCTAGCCCGTGCCGCGCCCGCTTAGCCCCCTCAATCCGGCCAAACAAAAGCTGTTTCGGCATGCGGTGGCTGGGCATGCGGGCTACATGACCCAGCCATCGCAGCCTTGCCTGCCGGAGGAGCTCACCGATGGGACCCTGCCCAGATCTTTCAAGGATTTGTGAGCTCCTCACACAATCCAGTCTGGTTAAACCCAGGATGGATCGTAGGCAGGCCAGCCTAAATGTTTCTAACCGGCGAAGATGTTCCATTAGGGGGGTCCACGTTTCGCAAGCGTAGAGAAGGGAGGGAATGACCGTGGCCGAGAAGACCTGAAGCTTAGTGCGGAGCGACAGACCAGGTAGCTTCCACACAGCGTTACGCAACCGATGAAAAGATATTGCCGCTCGACTGATTCGGAGTGAGACCTCTGCTGTTAAACTGGAGCCAGTCATAAGCACACTGCCCAGGTATGGGAAACTCTCCACTCTCTCCACAACTGCCCCATCACCGATTGGGAGTTGTGGGGGTGGAGTGTCCGATGGTACAAAATACCCAGGCAGGTGCTTAGTTTTGGTGGGGCTGATGGTAAGGCCCCACCTCTTAGTGGCACGCTCCAGTCTCAGCAGCAGCGTCTCCAACTCCTCCTCTGACTGAGCAGCTATTACCAAGTCATCAGCATACATAACGTGGTTGAGCAATAGAGAGCCATCCCTTGACCGCACCCGGGCATCGATTAGCCTCCCATTATATCTGTACCATATGGAGATTCCCCCGGTACAGCTATTGAAGGCTTCACGAACTACGTGGTCAAAATAGATGTTAAATAATGTGGGAGCCAGAGGACATCCCTGTCGCACCCCAAGGTGTACAGGGAATGGCTCTGACTCCCGGCCACGTAGTTTTACCCGGGCCCGCTCACCATCATGAAGGTCCTTAATGATCGTGAGCAGAGGGTCAGGTACTCCAAAAGCACGAAGAACGACCCAGAGCCCAGGCCTACTGATGGTATCATAGGCCTTGACCAGGTCAATAAAGCAGAGATGTAGGTCTTGTTGGAATTCCCTACACCTCTGCTGTAGCAGACGGACAGAAAATATGGCATCTGTGCAGGACCGCCCTTTCCTGAAACCGCATTGGGGCTCCGCAAGCCTCTCCTCAGCGTGCCTGGCAAGGCGATGCTGAATAATCCTTGCCAGGACCTTTCCCGGCACACTGAGGAGTGAGATGCCCCTGTAGTTGTTACAGTCTGTGCGGTCCCCCTTCTTAAAAAGGGGGACCACCAGGGCATCCTTCCAATCCTGCGGAACCCGTCCAGTTGTCCAGACTGTTGTTATGATGTCATATAGGGCAGTCTGTGCACAAACGCCACCCTCCCTCAGCATTTCGCTTGGGAGATCATCTCTGCCCGCTGCCTTTCCTGGTCTCAGACTCAGGATCGCCTTCAATACTTCCTCAGCAGATGGCACCACAGCCAGCCACTCACAGGGGGTGAATTCATCCAATATTTGAGGCACCGCAGCCTCAGCAGGGTCATCCTCACTTTGTGCCACGATGTTTTCCTGGCTGAGGGATTTTCCCTCCCCCAGGACCTCACAGAAATGCTCAGCAAATCTGCGAACCTGTTCCTGGGGGTCGGAAATTGGATCACCGTTTTTTCCCCTAATGATGGTAATAGGTGTGGCGCTGCAGGTTACTTTTTTGATGGAGTTAAATAGAGATTTGTGATCACGGGCCACTGAGGCAGACTCCATCTCCTCAGCAACCCGCGACCACCACCCATCCTTGCAGCGCCTCACGGCTCTCCGAACCTCCGAGCGAAGGCTGCGGTAAGCCTCCTCATTCTCTGACGTGGGATTCTGTAGCCGATGACAGTGGGCCTGTCGCTTTTTCTCAACCATCGTGAACAACTCCTCTGTCATCCAGGGTGTCTGGGGAGGTCTGGACCGCGTACCCAAAGCAGCCATTGCAGCTGCATGAGTCACAGTCCTAAACCTCGCCCATTTACCCTCGACATCAGGAGGAGTCGGGGACGATGCCAATCCCAGCCGCAAGCGATGATGAAATTCTCGCTTGCAACTTTCATCAGATAACTGAGACCAGGCCACTTTAGGTTGGAATGGGGTCCTGGGTGTACACCCACCACCGGAGTGGAAGAATGGCAGGCGCATCTTACAGATGACTAGTCGATGGTCAGAGGGCAGATCAGCTCCACGGTAGGTCCTGGTGTCAAGGACATGGGCTCGCATTCGCTGGTCCGTCACTATGTAGTCCAGCAGATGTTCTTGCTTGGACCCGGCATGCATCCATGATGTTGTGTGGATGCGCCGATGCCGGAACAGCGTGTTGGTAATTACAAGCCCATGGGCTGCACAAAAATCTAGCAGCCTCCTACCGTTGTTATTGAGCTGATCTGGCCCATGCCCTCCAATCACTCCAGACCAGGTGCCAGTATCATGACCAACTCGGGCATTGAAGTCACCCAACATGATGACTCTATCCCGAGGGGCCACTTTAGCCAGCACCTGTGACAGGAGGTCATAGAAGGCATCTGACTCATCGGCTTTGCCTGCATCCCTCCACGGATGTTCATCTTCGGTGGGGGCATAAGTAACCACGACCACCATTCCTCGCCTCCGGTTGATGGGAAGGCGAGCCCAAAGTAGCCTGGGGCTTACAGCTTCCCACACCTCACCGCCACGCTCCCACGCCCCCTTCATTCTTTTGTTCAAAAGAAGACCCACACCCTGTTGTTTGGCAGTCTGCTGCCCCGAGTAGAGGACTGTCCACCCCTCATGGTGGCAGGAGCCAGAGCCGGTCCACCGGACCTCCTGAATGCCGCATAGATCCAGGCGGTACCGGTCCAGCTCCCGACAGAGGAGTGGCAGCCTCTCCTCTGCAGTGAGCGTTCGAACATTCCACGTGGCCAACCGTAGTGGCTTTTCGTTGTTTCTGGAGTAGCCCCGAGGGTAGGTATTCAATCTCCTGGCTCCGCCAATTGGGGTTTGGCCAGGAGACGTCATAGACGCCTGGCCCCCCGGGGCCTCCGGCACAAGCTTAGTTGTTACATATTTCAGTTTAATTCGTAGTTTCGTGGTAATTAATTGAAGGTGGAGGGGTTACCAGCCCCTCGCACCCGTCCAGAGCCCCCGTTTAGCCCCTGTGGTGGACACAGACGCCATGAGGGGAGGAGCCAATCAAAATTGGATCTCCCCCCACAGCGCTGTCCACGACAGAGTTGCCCGTCCGGCACCGCGAGGAGGTAGGGGGTTGTTTAGGCACAGTTCCACACACACACACAGACACACACAGACACACACACAGACACACACACAGACACACACACAGACACACACACACACAGACACACACACACAGACACACACACACATACACACACAGACACACACAGACACACACACAGACACACACACACACACATAGACACACACACACACAGACACAGTACTTGAAGTCACACTGGTAGTGCACAGTTCCACACACACACAGACACACACACACACAGACACACACACAGACACACACACACAGACACACACAGACACACACACACACAGACACACACACAGACACACACACACAGACACACACAGACACACACAGACACAGACACACAGACACACACAGACACAGACACACAGACACACGGTACTTGAAGTCACACTGGTAGTGCACAGTTCCACACACACACACAGACACACACACACACAGACACACACACACACAGACACACACACACACACAGACACACACACACAGACACACACACACACATACACACACACAGACACACACACACACACAGACACACACACAGACACACACACACACACAGACACACACACACACAGACACAACACACACACACAGACACACACACACAGACACACACAGACACACACAGACACACACACACAGACACACGGTACTTGAAGTCACACTGGTAGTGCACAGTTCCACACACACACAGACACACACACACACACACAGACACACACAGACACACACACAGACACACACACACACACACAGACACACACACACACACAGACACGGTACTTGAAGTCACACTGGTAGTGCACAGTTCCACACACACACAGACTCACACACAGACACACACACAGACACACACACACACAGACACACACACACACAGACACGGTACTTGAAGTCACACTGGTAGTGCACAGTTCCACACACACACAGACTCACACACACAGACACACACAGACTCACACACACAGACACACACAGACACACACACAGACACACACAGACACACACAGACACACACACACAGACACACGGTACTTGAAGTCACACTCGTAGTGCACAGTTCCACACACACACAGACACACAGACACACACACAGACACACACAGACACACACAGACACACAGACACACACAGACACACACAGACACACACACACACACGGTACTTGAAGTCACACTGGTAGTGCACAGTTCCACACACACACACAGACACACACAGACACACACAGACACACACACAGACACACACAGACTCACACACACACACAGACACACACACACACAGACACACGGTACTTGAAGTCACACTGGTAGTGCACAGTTCCACACACACACACACACAGACACAGACACACACACACAGACACAGACACACACATACACACGGTACTTGAAGTCACACTCGTAGTGCACAGTTCCACACACACACAGACACACACACACAGACACACACACACACAGACACACGGTACTTTAAGTCACACTGGTAGTGCACAGTTCCACACACACACAGACACACACAGACACACACAGACACACACACACACAGACACACACACACACACAGACACACACAGACACACAGACACGGTACTTGAAGTCACACTGGTAGTGCACAGTTCCACACACACACAGACACACACACAGACACACACACAGACACACACACACACAGACAGACACACACAGACACACACACACACAGTTCCACACACACACGGGGGTACCAGCTAGTACCTGAAGAGGATGCGGAACAGCTGACGCAGGTACATGTAGTCCGGCGTCTCCTCAAAACGAAGGCCGCGGCAATAGTTCAAGTACATCGAAAACTCAGCCGGGTAACCCTGGGTCACACAAACAGCCGCTTGATGAGTCAGCTGGTTGATGAGTTAGCTGGTTGATGAGTTAGCGAGTTGATGAGTTAGCTGGTTGATGAGTGAGCTGGTTGATGAGTTAGCTGGTTGATGAGTTAGCGAGTTGATGAGTTAGCGAGTTGATGAGTTAGCTGGTTGATGAGTGAGCTGGTTGATGAGTTAGCGAGTTGATGAGTTAGCGAGTTGATGAGTTAGCTGGTTGATGAGTTAGCTGGTTGATGAGTTAGCTGGTTGATGAGTTAGCTGGTTGATGAGTTAGCTGGTTGATGAGTTAGCTGGTTGATAAGTTAGCTGGTTGATGAGTTAGCTGGTTGATGAGTTAGCTGGTTGATGAGTTAGCTGGTTGATGAGTTAGCTGGTTGATAAGTTAGCTGGTTGATGAGTTAGCTGGTTGATGAGTTAGCTGGTTGATGAGTTAGCGAGTTGATGAGTTAGTGGGTTAGTGAGTTGATGAGTTAGCTGGTTGATGAGTTAGCTGGTTGATGAGTTAGTGGGTTAGTGAGTTGATGAGTTAGTGGGTTAGTGGCTTAGTGAGTTGATAAGTAAGTGGGTTAATGGGATAGAGAGTTGATGAGTTAGCTGGTTGATGAGTTAGCTGGTTGATGAGTTAGCGAGTTGATGAGTTAGCTGGTTGATGAGTTAGCTGGTTGATGAGTTAGTGGGTTAGTGAGTTGATGAGTTAGTGGGTTGCTGAGTTAGTGGGTTAGTGAGTTGATGAGTTAGTGGGTTGCTGAGTTAGTGGGTTAGTGAGTTGATGAGTTAGTGGGTTAGTGAGTTGATGAGTTAGTGGGTTGCTGAGTTAGTGGGTTAGTGAGTTGATGAGTTAGTGAGTTGATGAGTTAGCTGGTTGATGAGTTAGCGAGTTGATGAGTTAGCTGGTTGATGAGTTAGCGAGTTGATGAGTTAGTGGGTTAGTGAGTTGATGAGTTAGTGAGTTGATGGGTTAGTGGGTTGATGAGTTAGTGGTTTGATGAGTTAGTGGGTTGATGAGTTAGCGAGTTGATGAGTTAGCGAGTTGATGAGTTAGTGGGTTAGTGAGTTAGCGAGTTGATGAGTTAGCTGGTTGATGAGTTAGCTGGTTGATGAGTTAGTGGGTTGCTGAGTTAGTGGGTTAGTGAGTTGATGAGTTAGTGGGTTGAGTTAGTGAGTTGCTGAGTTAGTGGGTTAGTGAGTTGATGAGTTAGTGAGTTGATGAGTTAGTGAGTTGATGGGTTAGTGGGTTGATGAGTTAGTGGGTTGATGAGTTAGTGGGTTAGTGAGTTGATAAGTTAGTGAGTTGATGAGTTAGTGAGTTGATGGGTTAGTGGGTTGATGAGTTAGTGGGTTAATGGGATAGAGAGTTGATGGGTTAGTGGGTTAATGGGATAGAGAGTTGATGGGTTAGTGAGTTGGTGGGTTAGTGGGTTAGTGGGTTAGCTGGTTGATGAGTTAGTGGGTTAATGGGATAGAGAGTTGATGGGTTAGTGGGTTAATGGGATAGAGAGTTGATGGGTTAGCTGGTTGATGAGTTAGTGGGTTAATGGGATAGAGAGTTGATGAGTTAGCTGGTTGATGAGTTAGTGAGTTGATGAGTTAGTGAGTTGATGAGTTAGTGAGTTGATGGGTTAGTGAGTTGATGAGTTAGTGAGTTGATGAGTTAGTGGGTTGATGAGTTAGTGAGTTGATGAGTTAGTGAGTTGATGAGTTAGTGAGTTGATGGGTTAGTGAGTTGATGGGTTAGTGAGTTGATGGGTTAGTGAGTTGATGGGTTAGTGAGTTGATGGGTTAGTGGGTTGATGAGTTAGTGAGTTGATGAGTTAGTGAGTTGATGGGTTAGTGAGTTGATGGGTTAGTGAGTTGATGGGGTAGTGAGTTGATGAGTTAGCTGGTTGATGAGTTAGTGGGTTGATGAGTTAGTGAGTTGATGAGTTAGTGGGTTAGTGAGTTGATGAGTTAGCTGGTTGATGAGTTAGCTGGTTGATGAGTTAGTGGGTTAGTGAGTTGATGAGTTAGTGGGTTAGTGGCTTAGTGAGTTGATAAGTAAGTGGGTTAATGGGATAGAGAGTTGATGAGTTAGCTGGTTGATGAGTTAGCTGGTTGATGAGTTAGCGAGTTGATGAGTTAGCTGGTTGATGAGTTAGCTGGTTGATGAGTTAGTGGGTTAGTGAGTTGATGAGTTAGTGGGTTGCTGAGTTAGTGGGTTAGTGAGTTGATGAGTTAGTGGGTTGCTGAGTTAGTGGGTTAGTGAGTTGATGAGTTAGTGGGTTAGTGAGTTGATGAGTTAGTGGGTTGCTGAGTTAGTGGGTTAGTGAGTTGATGAGTTAGTGAGTTGATGAGTTAGCTGGTTGATGAGTTAGCGAGTTGATGAGTTAGCTGGTTGATGAGTTAGCGAGTTGATGAGTTAGTGGGTTAGTGAGTTGATGAGTTAGTGAGTTGATGGGTTAGTGGGTTGATGAGTTAGTGGTTTGATGAGTTAGTGGGTTGATGAGTTAGCGAGTTGATGAGTTAGCGAGTTGATGAGTTAGTGGGTTAGTGAGTTAGCGAGTTGATGAGTTAGCTGGTTGATGAGTTAGCTGGTTGATGAGTTAGTGGGTTGCTGAGTTAGTGGGTTAGTGAGTTGATGAGTTAGTGGGTTGAGTTAGTGGGTTGCTGAGTTAGTGGGTTAGTGAGTTGATGAGTTAGTGAGTTGATGAGTTAGTGAGTTGATGGGTTAGTGGGTTGATGAGTTAGTGGGATGATGAGTTAGTGGGTTAGTGAGTTGATAAGTTAGTGAGTTGATGAGTTAGTGAGTTGATGGGTTAGTGGGTTGATGAGTTAGTGGGTTAATGGGATAGAGAGTTGATGGGTTAGTGGGTTAATGGGATAGAGAGTTGATGGGTTAGTGAGTTGGTGTGTTAGTGGGTTAGTGGGTTAGCTGGTTGATGAGTTAGTGGGTTAATGGGATAGAGAGTTGATGGGTTAGTGGGTTAATGGGATAGAGAGTTGATGGGTTAGCTGGTTGATGAGTTAGTGGGTTAATGGGATAGAGAGTTGATGAGTTAGCTGGTTGATGAGTTAGTGAGTTGATGAGTTAGTGAGTTGATGAGTTAGTGAGTTGATGGGTTAGTGAGTTGATGAGTTAGTGAGTTGATGAGTTAGTGGGTTGATGAGTTAGTGAGTTGATGAGTTAGTGAGTTGATGAGTTAGTGAGTTGATGGGTTAGTGAGTTGATGGGTTAGTGAGTTGATGGGTTAGTGAGTTGATGGGTTAGTGAGTTGATGGGTTAGTGGGTTGATGAGTTAGTGAGTTGATGAGTTAGTGAGTTGATGGGTTAGTGAGTTGATGGGTTAGTGAGTTGATGGGGTAGTGAGTTGATGAGTTAGTGGGTTGATGAGTTAGTGGGTTGATGAGTTAGTGAGTTGATGAGTTAGTGAGTTGATGGGTTAGTGGGTTGATGAGTTGGTGAGTTGATGAGTTAGTGAGTTGATGAGTTAGTGAGTTGATGAGTTAGTGAGTTGATGAGTTAGTGAGTTGATGAGTTAGTGAGTTGATGGGTTAGTGAGTTGATGAGTTAGTGGGTTGATGAGTTAGTGAGTTGATGAATTAGTGGTTTAGTGAGTTGATGAGTTAGTGAGTTGATGGGTTAGTGAGTTGATGGGTTAGTGAGTTGATGGGTTAGTGAGTTGATGAGTTAGTGAGTTGATGGGTTATTGAGTTGATGGGTTATTGAGTTGATGAGCTAGTGAGTTGATGAGTTAGTGAGTTGATGGGTTAGTGAGTTGATGAGTTAGTGAGTTGATGAGTTAGTGAGTTGATGGGTTAGTGAGTTGATGGGTTAGTGAGTTGATGGGTTAGTGAGTTGATGGGTTAGTGAGTTGATGAGTTAGTGAGTTTATGAGTTAGTGAGTTGATGAGTTAGCTGGTTGATGGGTTAGTGAGTTGATGGGTTAGTGACGTGGTGAGTGACGTGGTGAGTGACGTGGTGAGTGACGTGGTGAGGTGGTGAGTGAGGTGGTGAGTGACGTGGTGAGCGAGGTGGTGGTGAGCGAGGTGGTGAGGTGGTGAGCGAGGTGGTGGTGAGCTCACCTTGCACAGAACCTCCACAGGGGTGGTGAGTGACGTGGTGAGCGAGGTGGTGAGTGACGTGGTGAGCGAAGTGGTGATGTGGTGAGTGACGTGGTGGTGGTGAGCTCACCTTGCACAGAACCTCCACAGGGGTAGTGAGTGACGTGGTGAGTGACGTGGTGACGTGGTGAGGTGGTGAGCGAGGTGGTGAGCTCACCTTGCACAGGACCTCCACTGGGGTGGTGAGTGACGTGGTGAGGTGGTGAGCGAGGTGGTGAGCGAGGTGGTGAGTTGGTGAGGTGGTGAGCGAGGTGGTGAGCGAGGTGGTGAGTTGGTGAGCGAGGTGGTGAGCGAGGTGGTGAGCGAGGTGATGAGTTGGTGAGTGAGGTGGTGAGCGAGGTGGTGAGCTCACCTTGCACAGGACCTCCACTGGGGTGGTGAGTGACGTGGTGAGGTGGTGAGCGAGGTGGTGAGCGAGGTGGTGAGTTGGTGAGGTGGTGAGCGAGGTGGTGAGCGAGGTGGTGAGTTGGTGAGCGAGGTGGTGAGCGAGGTGGTGAGCGAGGTGATGAGTTGGTGAGCGAGGTGGTGAGCTCACCTTGCACAGGACCTCCACAGGGGTGGTGGAGTGACGTGGTGAGTGACGTGGTGAGCGAGGTGGTGAGCGACGTGGTGAGTGACGTGGTGAGGTGGTGAGTGAGTGACGTGGTGAGCGAGTGACGTGGTGAGTGAGTGACGTGGTGAGTGAGGTGGTGAGTGACGTGGTGAGCGAGGTGGTGAGCGAGGTGGTGAGCTCACCTTGCACAGAACCTCCACAGGGGTGGTGAGTGACGTGGTGAGTGAGTGACGTGGTGAGTGACGTGGTGAGGTGGTGAGTGACGTGGTGAGTGACGTGGTGAGTGACATGGTGACGTGGTGAATGACGTGGTGAGTGACATGGTGAGGTGGTGAGTGAGGTGGTGAGCGAGGTGGTGAGCGAGGTGGTGAGCTCACCTTGCACAGGACCTCCACAGGGGTGGTGAGTGACGTGGTGAGGTGGTGAGTGAGTGACGTGGTGAGGTGGTGAGCGAGGTGGTGAGCGAGGTGGTGGTGGTGAGCTCACCTTGCACAGGACCTCCACAGGGGTGGTGAGTGACGTGGTGAGCGAGGTGGTGAGTGAGGTGGTGAGTGACGTGGTGAGGTGGTGAGTGAGTGACGTGGTGAGCGAGGTGGTGAGCGAGGTGGTGAGCGAGGTGGTGAGGTGGTGAGCGAGGTGGTGAGTGAAGTGGTGAGCGAGGTGGTGAGTGACGTGGTGAGTGACGTGGTGAGTTGGTGAGCGAGGTGGTGAGCGAGGTGGTGAGCGAGGTGGTGAGCGAGGTGGTGAGCTCACCTTGCACAGGACCTCCACTGGGGTGGTGAGCGAGGTGGTGAGTGACGTGGTGAGGTGGTGAGTTGGTGAGTGACGTGGTGAGGTGGTGAGTTGGTGAGTTGGTGAGGTGGTGGTGGTGAGCTCACCTTGCACAGGACCTCCACTGGGGTGGTGAGTGACGTGGTGAGTTGGTGAGTGAGTTGGTGAGCGAGGTGGTGAGCTCACCTTGCACAGGACCTCCACTGGGGTGGTGAGTGACGTGGTGAGTGACGTGGTGAGTTGGTGAGTGAGGTGGTGAGCGAGGTGGTGAGCTCACCTTGCACAGGACCTCCACTGGGGTGGTGAGCGAGGTGGTGAGTTGGTGAGCGAGGTGGTGGTGAGCTCACCTTGCACAGGACCTCCACTGGGGTGGTGAGCGAGGTGGTGAGTGAGTGACGTGGTGAGCGAGGTGGTGAGCGAGGTGGTGAGTGAGTGACGTGGTGAGCGAGGTGGTGAGCGAGGTGGTGAGCTCACCTTGCACAGGACCTCCACTGGGGTGGTGAGCGAGGTGGTGAGTGAGTGACGTGGTGAGCGAGGTGGTGAGCGAGGTGGTGAGTGAGTGACGTGGTGAGCGAGGTGGTGAGCGAGGTGGTGAGCTCACCTTGCACAGGACCTCCACTGGGGTGGACATTTTCTTCTCACTGATCTTCTCATACTTCTGTTTCTTAGTGGCCGCCTGGGGGCACGCGCAGACACACACTGTACACACTGTACACACACTGTACACACTGTAACACTGTACACACTGTGCACACTGTACACACGCTGTACACACACTGCACACACTGTACACACACCACACACACCACACTGTACACACTGTATACACTGTACACACTGTGCGCACACTGCACACCCACACTGTACACACTGCACACACCGCGCGCGCACTGTACACACTGCACACACTGTACACACTGTACACACAGTGCACACACAGTGTACACACACACTGTACACACACTGTACACACACAGTGTACACACACAGTGTACACACACACACAGTGTGTACACACACAGTGTGTATGTACACACTGTGTGTACACACAGTGTGTACATACACACTGTGTGTACACACACAGTGTGTATGTACACACAGTGTAGTACACACAGTGTAGTACACACACACACAGTGTAGTACACACACAGTGTACACACACAGTGTACACACACACAGTGTACACACACACAGTGTAGACACACATAGTGTACACACACACAGTGTACACACACACACACAGTGTACACACACACACACAGTGTGTACGTACACACAGTGTAGTACACACACACACAGTGTACACACACACAGTGTACACACACATAGTGTACACACACAGTGTTTACTCACACACTGTGTGTGTGTACACACACACAGTGGTGAGTGAGTGGTGAGTGAGTGGTGAGCGAGTGGTGAGTGAGTGGTGAGTGAGTGGTGAGTGAGTGGTGAGCGAGCGAGTGGTGAGTGAGTGGTGAGTGAGTGGTGAGTGAGTGGTGAGTGAGTGGTGAGTGAGTGGTGAGCGAGTGGTGAGCGAGTGGTGAGCGGTACCTTGAGTCCCTGCCAAGGTAGGCTGGTGCGGTTAAAGTACATCAACACGTAGCCCAGAGACTCCATGTCGTCACGCCGGCTACACACACACACAGAGACACACACACACACACAGACACAGTGACACACACAGACACACACAGACACACACACACACACAGACACACACACACACACAGATACAGTGTGTACACACACACACAGAGATACAGTGTGTACACACACACAGATACACATACACACACAGTGTACACACACACAGATACACACAGACACACACACAGATACACACAGAGATACACAGAAACACACACACAGACACACACACACAGACACACACACAGATACACACACACAGTGTACACACACACACAGAGATACAGTGTGTACACACATACACACACACACAGTGTACACACACACAGATACACACAGACACACACACAGATACACACAGAGATACACAGAAACACACACACAGATACACACAGAGATACACAGAAACACACACACAGACACACACACACAGACACACACACAGATACACACACAGATACACAGAAACACACACACACACACACACAGACACACACACACAGATACACACACTCACAGGCACACACAGACACACACACAGATACACACACACTCACAGACACACACACACAGTGACACACACACACATACACAGACACACACACATACACAGACACACACACAGATACACAGAAACACACACACAGACACACACACAGACACACACAGATACACACACATACACAGAAACACACACACACAGTGACACACACACACATACACAGACACACACACAGATACACACACACACAGTGACACACACACAGACACACACACAGATACACACACACACAGATACACACACAGATACACAGATACACACACAGACACACACACACACAGTGGTTGGTAGTGGTAGTTGGAGGTAGTTACTGGTAGTTAGTGGTAGGTGTGGTAGTGGTAGTTAGTGGTAGTAGTAGTAGTTAGTGGTAGTAGTTAGTGGTAGTTAGTAGTAGTAGTGGTGGTAGTTAGTGATAGTTAGTAGTGGTAGTTAGTGATAGTTAGTAGTGATAGTTAGTAGTGGTAGTTAGTGATAGTGATAGTTACCTCTGCTCGATCCCCAGGTGGGCGTTGATGGAGGCGTATCTCGCCGTGCCCACAGTAGTGGTAGTAGTGATAGTAGTGGTGGTAGTTAGTGATAGTTAGTGATAGTGGTAGTTAGTGATAGTTAGCGGTAGTTAGTGGTAGTTACCTCTGCTCGATCCCCAGGTGGGCGTTGATGGAGGCGTATCTCGCTGTGCCCACAGTAGTGGTAGTAGTGGTAGTTAGTAGTGGTAGTTAGTGATAGTTAGTGGTAGTTAGTGATAGTTACCTCTGCTCGATCCCCAGGTGAGCGTTGATGGAGGCGTATCTCGCTGTGCCCGTCAGGTTTTTATCCTCACGGTATGGAATGTGCTGTGCCCACAGTACTAGTTAGTAGTAGTGGTAGTTAGTAGTGGTAGTTAGTGAGAGTGGTAGTTAGTGATAGTTAGTAGTGGTAGTTAGTGATAGTTAGTTAGTGATAGTTAGTGATAGTGATAGTTACCTCTGCTCGATCCCCAGGTGGGCGTTGATGGAGGCGTATCTCGCTGTGCCCTTAGTAGTAGTGGTAGTAGTGGTAGTGATAGTAGTTAGTAGTGGTAGTTAGTTAGTGATAGTTAGTGATAGTTACCTCTGCTCGATCCCCAGGTGGGCGTTGATGGAGGCGTATCTCGCCGTGCCCACAGTAGTGGTAGTAGTTAGTAGTAGTGATAGTAGTTAGTAGTAGTGGTAGTTAGTAGTGATAGTTAGTGATAGTTAGTGGTAGTTACCTCTGCTCGATCCCCAGGTGAGCGTTGATGGAGGCGTATCTCGCTGTGCCCGTCAGGTTTTTATCCTCACGGTATGGAATGTGCTGCCGGGTTCGGCTGTCTCGATACTTCTTGGCGAGTCCAAAGTCGATGAGGTACAGCTGCACACACACACACAGCATAGTACACACAGCATAGTACACACAGCATAGTACACACAGCATAGTGTACACAGCATAGTGTACACAGCATAGTACACACAGCATAGTGTACACAGCATAGTACACACAGCATAGTACACACAGCATAGTGTACACAGCATAGTGTACACAGCATAGTACACACAGCATAGTGTACACAGCATAGTACACACAGCATAGTACACACAGCATAGTACACACAGCATAGTGTACACAGCATAGTACACACAGCATAGTGTACACAACATAGTGTACACAGCATAGTACACACACACAGCATAGTACACACAGCATAGTACACACACACAGCATAGTACACACAGCATAGTGTACACAGCATAGTGTACACACAGCATAGTACACACAGCATAGTGTACACAGCATAGTGTACACACAGCATAGTACACACAGCATAGTGTACACACACACAGCATAGTGTACACACAGCATAGTGTACACACAGCATAGTGTACACACAGCATAGTGTACACAGTATAGTGTACACACAGCATAGTACACACAGCATAGTACACACAGCATAGTGTACACACAGCAGTGTACACACAGCATAGTACACACAGCATAGTACACACAGCATAGTGTACACACACACAGCATAGTACACACAGCATAGTGTACACACAGCATAGTACACACAGCATAGTACACACAGCATAGTACACACAGCATAGTACACACAGCATAGTGTACACACAGCATAGTGTACACACAGCATAGTGTACACACAGCATAGTATACACAGCATAGTATACACAGCATAGTGTACACAGCATAGTGTACACACAGCATAGTGTACACACAGCATAGTGTACACAGCATAGTGTACACACAGCATAGTGTACACACACAGCATAGTGTACACACACAGCATAGTGTACACACACAGCATAGTACACACACACAGCATAGTGTACACACACAGCATAGTACACACACACAGCATAGTACACACAGCATAGTGTACACAGCATAGTACACACAGCATAGTGTACACAGCATAGTGTACACAGCACAGTGTACACAGCATAGTACACACACACAGCATAGTACACACACACAGCATAGTACACACACACAGCATAGTACACACACACAGCATAGTACACACAGCATAGTGTACACAGCATAGTACACACAGCATAGTGTACACAGCACAGTGTACACAGCATAGTGTACACAGCATAGTACACACAGCATAGTACACACACACAGCATAGTACACACAGCATAGTACACACAGCATAGTACACACAGCATAGTACACACAGCATAGTACACACAGCATAGTGTACACAGCATAGTGTACACACAGCATAGTACACACAGCATAGTGTACACAGCATAGTACACACAGCATAGTGTACACACACACAGCATAGTGTACACACAGCATAGTACACACAGCATAGTGTACACACACACAGCATAGTGTACACACAGCATAGTGTACACAGTATAGTGTACACACAGCATAGTGTACACACACACACAGCATAGTGTACACACAACATACTACACACAGCATAGTGTACACACAACATACTACACACAGCATAGAGTACACACAGCATAGTGTACACACACACAGCATAGTACACACAGCATAGTGTACACACACACACAGCATAGTACACACAGCATAGTGTACACACAGCATAGTGTACACACAGCATAGTACACACAGCATAGTACACACAGCATAGTGTACACACAGCATAGTACACACACACAGCATAGTGTACACAGCATAGTACACACAACATACTACACACAGCATAGTACACACACACAGCATAGTGTACACAGCATAGTACACACAACATACTACACGCAACATACTACACACAGCATAGTGTACACACAACATACTACACACAACATACTACACACAGCATAGTACACACAGCATAGTACACACAGCATAGTACACACAGCATAGTACACACACACAGCATAGTACACACACAGCATAGTACACACAACATACTACACACAGCATAGTACACACAACATACTACACACAACATAGTACACACAGCATAGTACACACACACAGCATAGTACACACAGCATAGTGTACACACACAGCATAGTACACACACACAGCATAGTACACACACACAGCATAGTACACACACACAGCATAGTAAACACAGCATAGTACACACAGCATAGTGTACACAGCATAGTGTACACACAGCATAGTGTACACACAGCATAGTACACACAGCATAGTGTACACACAGCATAGTGTACACACAGCATAGTGTACACACAGCATAGTGTACACAGTATAGTGTACACACAGCATAGTGTACACAGTATAGTGTACACACAGCATAGTGTACACACACACACACAGCATAGTGTACACACAACATACTACACACAGCATAGTGTACACACAGCATAGTGTACACACACACAGCATAGTACACACAGCATAGTGTACACACACACACAGCATAGTACACACAGCATAGTACACACAGCATAGTACACACAGCATAGTACACACAGCATAGTGTACACACAGCATAGTGTACACACAGCATAGTACACACAGCATAGTACACACAGCATAGTGTACACACAGCATAGTACACACACACAGCATAGTGTACACAGCATAGTACACACAACATACTACACACAGCATAGTACACACAACATAGTACACACAGCATAGTACACACACACAGCATAGTGTACACAGCATAGTACACACACACAGCATAGTGTACACAGCATAGTACACACAACATACTACACACAACATACTACACACAACATACTACACACAGCATAGTACACACAGCATAGTACACACAACATAGTACACACAGCATAGTACACACACAGCATAGTACACACAACATACTACACACAGCATAGTACACACAACATACTACACACAACATAGTACACACAGCATAGTACACACACACAGCATAGTACACACACACACAGCATAGTACACACAGCATAGTGTACACACACACAGCATAGTGTACACACACACAGCATAGTACACACAGCATAGTACACACCGCATAGTGTACACACAGCATAGTACACACAGCATAGTGTACACAGCATAGTGCACACACAGCATAGTGTACACACAGCATAGTGTACACAGCATAGTGTACACACAGCATAGTACACACAGCATAGTACACACAGCATAGTACACACAGCATAGTACACACAGCATAGTACACACAGCATAGTACACACAGCATAGTACACACAGCATAGTACACACACACACAGCATAGTGTACACAGCATAGTGTACACACAGCATAGTGTACACACAGCATAGTACACACAGCATAGTGTACACAGCATAGTGTACACAGCATAGTGTACACACACAGCATAGTACACACACACAGCATAGTACACACAGCATAGTGTACACACAACATAGTACACACAGCATAGTACACACAGCATAGTGTACACAGCATACTGTACACACAGCATAGTGTACACACACAGTAGTTGTAGGTATAGTAGTTGTAGGTATAGTAGTTGTAGGTGTAGTAGTTGTAGGTGTAGTAGTTGTAGGTGTAGTAGTTGTAGGTGTAGTAGTTGTAGGTGTAGTAGTTGTAGGTATAGTAGTTGTAGGTGTAGTAGTTGTAGGTATAGTAGTTGTAGGTATAGTAGTTGTAGGTATAGTAGTTGTAGTAGTTGTAGGTGTAGTAGTTGTAGGTGTAGTAGTTGCAGGTGTAGTAGTTGTAGGTGTAGTAGTTGTAGTAGTTGTAGGTATAGTAGTTGTAGGTGTAGTAGTTGTAGGTGTAGTAGTTGTAGGTGTAGTAGTTGTAGGTATAGTAGTTGTAGTAGTTGTAGGTGTAGTAGTTGTAGGTATAGTAGTTGTAGGTGTAGTAGTTGTAGGTATAGTAGTTGTAGGTATAGTAGTTGTAGGTGTAGTAGTTGTAGGTATAGTAGTTGCAGGTGTAGTAGTTGTAGGTGTAGTAGTTGTAGTAGTTGTAGTAGTTGTAGGTGTAGTAGTTGTAGGTATAGTAGTTGTAGGTGTAGTAGTTGTAGGTATAGTAGTTGTAGTAGTTGTAGGTATAGTAGTTGTAGGTATAGTAGTTGTAGGTGTAGTAGTTGTAGGTGTAGTAGTTGTAGTAGTTGTAGGTATAGTAGTTGTAGGTGTAGTAGTTGTAGGTGTAGTAGTTGTAGTAGTTGTAGGTATAGTAGTTGTAGGTGTAGTAGTTGTAGGTATAGTAGTTGCAGGTGTAGTAGTTGTAGGTGTAGTAGTTGTAGGTATAGTAGTTGTAGGTGTAGTAGCTGTAGGTATAGTAGCTGTAGGTGTAGTAGTTGTAGGTATAGTAGTTGTAGGTGTAGTAGTTGTAGGTGTGGTAGTTGTAGGTATAGTAGTTGCAGGTGTAGTAGTTGTAGGTGTAGTAGTTGTAGTAGTTGTAGTAGTTGTAGGTGTAGTAGTTGTAGTAGTTGTAGGTGTAGTAGTTGTAGTAGTTGTAGGTGTAGTAGTTGTAGTAGTTGTAGGTGTAGTAGTTGTAGGTGTAGTAGTTGTAGTAGTTGTAGGTGTAGTAGTTGTAGGTGTAGTAGTTGTAGGTGTGGTAGTTGTAGGTGTAGTAGTTGTAGGTGTGGTAGTTGTAGGTATAGTAGTTGTAGGTATAGTAGTTGTAGGTGTAGTAGTTTTAGGTGTAGTAGTTGTAGGTGTAGTAGTTGTAGGTGTAGTAGTTGTAGGTATAGTAGTTGTAGGTATAGTAGTTGTAGATGTGGTAGTTGTAGGTGTGGTAGTTGTAGGTGTAGTAGTTGTAGGTGTGGTAGTTGTAGGTGTGGTAGTTGTAGGTGTAGTAGTTGTAGGTGTAGTAGTTGTAGGTGTGGTAGTTGTAGGTGTAGTAGTTGTAGGTGTAGTAGTTGTAGGTGTGGTAGTTGTAGGTGTAGTAGTTGCAGGTGTAGTAG